CATCAGGGATGCAGATATCTATAATGATCTCTATCTGTAGCATGTGGCATAAAAGGAATGGAAGAGAAAAATTCTACATTATTGTTAAGTGCCGATGAGTTGGTTCTGACTTATAGTGACCCCGAATAGGGTTCCCAAGGGGCTTGGTGGGTTTGAACTGCTAACCTTCTGGTTCAAAGTCCAGTGCTGATCTTACAGTGTCACACCAGGTCTACAGGGTTGTTGAAAGAAAAACGAAAAAAAAAAAAAATTGTAAAGTGAAAGTCGATACACCTTTATGAGATGTGCAATGAAGGAAAGAGATGACAGATAAGTCAGAGATGTGTGAGGATTTAGGAAAGGGTATTCATTTAGATGTCTGGTTCTTGTTTTTACTATGGTAAGATATGAACATATTTTTAAACATAAGAGAGCTCCAGAGAGGAAAGAAAATTAAATTATCAGGGGGAAAAAAACAATGAATGGGACAGTTTCCTAGAGGAGATAGAAGGACATAGAATAAATGCATATTTTAAAAGGAGGACAGTTCATCCAGGAAAGAAAGAATAGTGATCTTACTGAGGTAGTTTCCTCTGCCATATAAGAGATCTTACATCAGATGTTCTGTGTCTTCTCAGAGAAGAAAAATGCAAAGACATCTCTTAAAAGCAGTGGCAGGATGGTCTGGGTCTATGGACTGGAAATAGTTTGGAATGCTTCCACAGACGGAAGCATAAGGAAAAGTCAACTAGAGGTGAACAAAAGAATTTCTGAACAACTCTGAGTGCATACTAATAATAGAGTCAAAAATTTCTAGTTGGGCCAGTTGGCACAATTTTGTGACTTTTTCTGGTAACAGTGAGCCACTCAGTAATGAGATCAAAGAAAGTGCACCAGGGTGTTTTCCCAGCCTTGAGGGTTAGGAAGGCAGAAATGACAATAAATCAAAGGGACTTGTTGCACGGTCATAAGAAATTACATGTAACTGACCCAAACTGGACCAAGAGGAAATTAAAACAGAAAGAATCAAAGGAATTAAAAATAGGATCAATGGAAGAATGGACTCAATGAGCTAAGAAGAAAAGAATAGGTAATTATGGCTGGAGAAGGGAATTTCAAAATGGAAGATTTTTGGAGATGAAGTAGTTTTGAGTAATTGTTTTTACAGCCTCGCTGGAGTAGAAATAGTATTAATGATCACTTCATCCAGCAATCTTACTGTGTTTATTAGAAAATGGAAGACCAGGAGGTCAGAAGATAGTCTACAAGTAACTGTATAATCCAGTGGCAGGACAGGGACTAGAATATTTTAAAGAGCATTTTGAAATTTTAAATAGAATGCTAAAACCATCAAACAATATTCCTAGGATAAAAAATATCGATACAGTTAAGTAAATGGAAACCAATATTAGCTAAAGTATTATAGTCACAGTAAACTATACATATGTTTACTATTTCAAAATGTGATATTATGTTATACCTCCCTCTTTCCTGTTTCAATTCCTCATGAAAAGAATATAGACGTCTTCTCTAGCTGAAATGAGCAGGTCCTTTTTCATTGTGTATTGAGAGAATGAAGACTAAGTTTGAAAAATGTGCTACCGGCTATTAGATTAAATTGTATAATAAATGGAATAACGGTTTTGAGTGCCAACGTACATGCCCTTAAAGATGTATAAAACCAGTGCCATTGAGTTGATTCAAACTCATAGTGACCCTTTATAGAGTTTCTGAGTCTGTAAATTTTTATGGGAGCCAAATACCTCATCTTTCTTCCACAGAATAGCTAGTGAGTTTGCACCACTGACCTTAGTTAGCAGTTCAATGCTTGCCCTATAGTGCCACCAGGGCTCCTTTGATGGTTGTTAATAAGTGCCATTGAAGTGATTCCAACTCATAGCAACCCTGTATAATTTTCCAAGGAGCAACTGCTGGGTTTGAACTGCCAGCCTTGTAGTTAGCAGTCCAGTGTTGATCCTGCAGTGCCTCACCAGGGCTCCTTGATGGTGTGTAGGGTCCACCATTTTAACTTCCTCCATAATTCTTATATTGTAACATAATCTCTTTCTTCTGAGATTACATTCAGTTTTAAATCTAAAAGTACATAATAGGTAAATGAAATGGTTAGGTAAGGAATACGAGTCATTTGTTTAAGCAATAGGTAGAAATCCATCCTATTAACCATCCCTCTTTTGACCTTCCGGAACCGATTCAATGGCACTAAACAACAACAACAACAACTTTTGACCTTCAGAGAAAACTATACATTTAAATGTAGATAATGATTTATATTTGATGGTCTTTTGTCTTATTTTACCTTGAAAATGTGAGAGAACGCCAACAAATTCATCAGAAAAAAATTCTCTTTTAATTCCATTTTTGAGGCCTCCTCATCTGTGTCTTTGTTACGTATGAGAATACTTCAAAAAGTTTGTGATAATATCTAATTGAAAGAAAATAGAATTTTTCTAGGAACTTTTTAAAGCCCCTTCGTATCTAAATTTTTGTTTTCTGAGAAAATTCACTTTCTCTGGTTTCTTTATAAATTTATACAACCACTTTGTGGTTTTACTTCAGAGATTCAGTGCAGAGAGATCATTATTCCTTTCAAGCAGAGCCATCATATTGGGAGCACAAGGGAACTGTCCCCCTGGATTGGGAGCAATATTTGATGACGGACATTATTTATGATTTCTGGTGCATGCTGGTCATAAAAAGGCAAACTAGATTTTGGTCAGTTTCGTTATTGTTCTTAGATTCTCTTCAAACAATACACTCACTTTCTGCTCACCCTAGGATAGGTCATTGTTACTCAACCAGCTTGATATGTGACTAATCTCAAATTCTCTTCTCTGGAGTTTGTCGTTAAGTGCTGTTGAGTTGGTTTAGATTCATAGACACTCTGTATGAAGTTTCAGAGGAATAACTGGTGAGTTTACACCGCCAACCTTGCCATTAGCAGTCCAGTGCTTATCCTGTATCACCACACTCAGACTCTAAAGATTAAAACTGACAAAAACAATGCTGTTATTAATACCATCGAGCAGATTTCGATTCGTAGTGACCCCATGTGACAGAGTTGAACTGTGTCATAGGGTTTTCTAGAATGTGGCGCTGTGGGTTAATGTGCTGGACTGCAAAGTCATTTGAACCACAAGGTTGGCTGTTCAAGCTCACCCGGCACTCCTTGGAAACCCTATATGGGTCACTGTGGGTCAGAACCGACTCAATGGCACTTAACAACAACAATCTTTATAGTAATGTATGGTCAAGTCTGTCTGGAACCTTTGGGTTGGATACAACTGGCAGCTTGGCTAAGGAGCCAAACACTTAACTGTTGGCTACCAAAAAAGCAAACCAAAAACAAGCTAACTGCTGTCATGTAAATTACAGCTCATGGTGGACAGAGTAGAACTGCCCCATAGGGTTTCTAATGCTGTAAGTCTTTACAGAGCAGACTGCCACATTTTTGTCTCATGAAGCAGCTGGTGAGTTCAAACCAGACTATAGACTTTAACAGTCGAGTGCTTTGACTACTGTGCTACAAGGGCTCTTTGAAATGGTTTTAGGTTTGCACCCTGGTGTCAATTCTGACTCATTGTGACCCTGTATAAGATTTTGAGACTGTAAATCTTCACAGGAGCAGAAAATTTCATCTTTCTCTCAAGGAGTGGCTGGAAGACTCAAACTGCTGACTTTGTGGTTAGCAGCAAACTCATAACCCACTATTTTATCCTGAATCGATTGAAGGTTTACAGGGCAGATCATCAGTTTTACATTACAGTGATTACAATCCCTTCCATGCACCATCAGCTAATAGTATTTACTTGTATTACCGTTTTTTGTTTTTGTTTTTCATGTACACATACCACATTGAAAATATTTATCCATTTAAATATCCAGAAGGTCCATTTTGCAAGCCAGCCTCCTACCCATAGACACACTGCCTTTCTCAGTCCATGGGCCTATTGTCTTTTGCCACTCTATCTCTCTATGCCATCCCCTCTGCCACTATTTCTGTTGTCACCGAGTTTCTGGTTAGAATTCCACGCTCCTTTTATGATTCTAGGGTCCTCTGTTCCTGAAATGACAGATTAACTGCTCCCCCATTTAGTTACACCTTTTCTACATTTATAGTTGTGAAAATTACCTGTAGTACTGATAACAGTTACTCACAATTGAATCATAAAATCCTATCCTCCTCATCACCAGACCCATCTGGACAAGAGGAAAACTATTCAGTGGGGATTCTAGCTTACCCCCCTTATTTAAACACGAAGCATCCCCATGAAAATTTCGTACCTTTATAGTATGACTACAACTTAAAATGGTGCTTTATTGTTGTTAAGTGCCATCGAGTTGGTTCCAATCAAAAACATCGATAGGGTTTCTAAGGAGTAACTGGTAGGTTTGAGCCACTGACCTTATGGTTCACAGTCCAGTGCTGATCCTGCAAAGCCACACCAGAAGTCTTAAAATGGTGTTAGAGATGGCAATTGTTCTTATCGAAACCAAGTGTTAACAAACTATGGTCTGAGGGTCAAATCTGACCCATTGCCTGTTTTTATACAAAAAATTTTATTGTAACACAGCCATGTCCATTTGTCACATACTGTTTGCAGCTGCTTTGGCACTGTTGTTAAGTACCATCGAGTCGGTTTTGACTCATAGTGACCCCTTATAGGGCTTCCATGGAGTGGCTTGTGGATTTGAACCACTGACCTTTCAGTTAGCAATCTAGCGCTTATTCAGAGCACTGCACCGGGACAGCTGCAGTATTTAATAGTTGGGACTATTTGTTCAAATCATTTGAACTATTTGACGCCTAGCAAATTTACTATCTGTGCTTTATAGAAAAAGTTTCCCAAAGCACTACTTGTTTCGTGAGCCTGCAAACAAAAACAACTCTTTTACATTCATGTTGTCTGCCAGTAATTTTAAAGAAGGTGGTTACTAATTTTTTTGGTACCATTGTTTTGAAGAACAATATTATTATCTATTCATTTCTCTTTCTTTTATAGTCCCTGCTATGTGGATATTTGTTAGCAATGACTGATGTGGAGACTACATATGCAGATTTTATTGCTTCAGGAAGAACAGGTAGAAGAAATGCAATACATGATATCCTGGTTTCCTCTGCAAGTGGCAACAGCAATGAATTAGCCTTGAAATTAGCAGGTCTGGATATTAACAAGACAGGTAAGTATTTTGACACATATTTCTCAATGATTTGAAGCATTTCCAAAGTAGAACTAAGTCATGAAAAGCTACCTTTGAACATAACCTAGTATGGAGAACGATTAATGATCTTGTTGATGTTGTTAAGTGCCGTGGAGTCAGTTCCAACTTGTACTATAGCAACCCTGTAAAAGGTTTCCAAGGAGCCTCTGGTGGTTAGCAGTCCAATGCTTATCCTACAGAGTCACACCAGGACTCCATAAATGGTCTTAGGGAAGATAAAAGTCTGAAACTAGTTGCTTAAATCATGCTATTCTGTTTTCAATAATTTCTCTTTACAGGATTTCCCACTATAATGCAGAATCTTTAAGTTGACTTTACTGAGCTCTGGTAGCGTAGTGGTTACAAATCGGGCTGTGAACCGCAAGGTCAGCAGTTCGAAACTACCAGCTGCTCTGCAGGAGAAAGATGAGGCTATCTGCTCCCATAAAGATTTACAGCCTCGGAAACCCTGTTCAGGGTCGCTATGGGTCGGAACCAACTCGACGGCACTTAACAACAACAAACTAATGATAATGAATTAATTAGGATACATGTAGAATTTAAAAAATACTAATCTCCATAAAAGCTTTGAAACTGCCTATGTAGAATACTTGACAAAGTTCCTATTGTGGACAGTGCTGACCACTGCTACCATTTAAAAGAGAGTTAGATGTTTAACAAGACTCACTGGTTAGTCCAATAGACAAAAATTCCAAAAACCATTTTAAGAGAAGAAGGTCTCCAGTACCAATTTTTTGAGAGCATTAGTAAGATATTGAAGATTTGTGAATCCTAGGTAAAAAATTCTTTTATTTTCTTTTTATAGTGAAAATATTTGTGAAAATTTTGTTTTATTATTGGGTCTTTAACTTTCAAGGAGTCTGGCTTACTAATGCTAAAAGCAATCAAAACTCACAGAAATTTGAACATTAACTTTATTCTGAGCAGTTTTTCTATATGCATATGGGCTCCTGATGTGATGCTATAGGATAAGAACTGGATGCAAACCACAAGTTCAGCGGTTCAAACCCACCAGATGCTCCTCGGAAACCCTATATGAGTCGGAACCAACTTGACAACACTTAACAGCAACAACAGCAATAGGGAGACCATTGTGTTTCCACAAAAAGAAAATGGTTCGAAGAAGCTAGGTAAACCAAATATCCAAACCTGTTGCCCCTGAATTGATTCCAACTCGTTACGACCCTAAAGGACAGAGTAGAGCTACCTCATACAGTTTCCAAGGCTGTAAATCTTTAGAGGTAGACTGCCACATTTTTCTCCCATGGAGTAGCTGAAGCGTTTGACCTGAGGGCCTTTTTGGTACCAGCCTAGTATCCAGGTGCTTACTCACTGAGCTACCAGGGATATAAAGGCTAGGTTAAAAGGGAGGAAGAAATAGAGACAATCAACTATGAGCTAATTTTAATATGATTGATTGAAGTCTGTGGGGCTTCTTTTTTTTTTAATTATCCCCTCCATTACCATCAGTTAACAGTATTTCTCTCTATTCACTTTAGCTTTTTTTTGAAGGTTTTATTGTGAATTATGTGATAGTTTATATGGGAGAACATTAGCTTTACATTCATCCTATCATATATTGTTTCATTGCCATGGGTACAAGCCCCTCCATGCATCATCAACAAACCAAAGGGTATATATACCCTGTAAGCCTGCACCCTGGTCGTCAGCACACAGCCCCTCTCCCTCTCTGGATCTAAAGTCTCCAGCTACTCCATCTCTGGCATCACTGCTTCTCTGGGTAGGGTCCCACTCTCCACTCTTCTCCCTTGATGGTCCCAGGGACCTTCGCTCCTAGAATGCAAAGTCAATCACTCCCCTCCTTTTGCTGCAAAACGTCTACCTTTACATTTCCAATGCTCACAATCAGTCCTGATAACAATTATTCACTATTGTATCACAAGAGACCTATCTGCATCTACTTTTATCAGTCCCGCTTAGACAGATTGGAAACTACTCAGTGGAGATTCTACCTTCCTCCATGCCCTCTGGATCTAGGCTCCCTCTTGAAAGCTTGTAAGCCAGTCACTTCTTGCCTTTGTAGCCGCCGCCCCCCACCCCCATTTTGGGTAGCCAATGTCCAAGTTGCCCATCCCTGTCTACTCTGTGTATGAAGAGGGTGGGAATGATCCTCGCTGTAAAGATTTGTTCCCTCTTTTGAGCTACTGCATCCATAGCTGTAGGTCAAGTTCATCAAATTGTATCAGATTACTCATTTTTTCCTCTTCTTTCTTCTTTGGGGCTCCTTTTTACTGAGATCAAAGGATATCGGTTTACAAGAGAGTTTGCACCTTCAACTTTCCATATCTTTTGAGATTGAAATGTAGTAAGCCTGGTTTGAAATAAGAAAGAAAGGGTTTGTAACATCAGGTGAAAAAAAGTGGATGGTAGAGTGAGTGTGGTCAGGGATTTTTTGAAAGTGGATATTTGTTTTCATGGGTAAAAAACTCCAAAATTTAAAGCAAGGGATCTGTTACCAATTTCTCTTTGACACTGAAAAAAAGCAAAAACAAGTTTGACATTAAAATACTGGGCAGGGACTGGATGACTGGATGATCAGTGCTCAACCAGGAGAAGAAAGAAGTGGGGCGGGGAGACTGAGCTGATCCAAGCTGATGAACTTGACATATGCATACGAAGGCAGTGACACAAAAGAGGCAACAAATCCTTACAG